AAACCAGATGGAAAGTTTAATAGAAGTTCAATACTACCAAACAAGAGACTTCCGAGCAATTACTGCTAAACGAGTGGTGCCTGAAACGTGACAGAAGCTCAGAGGAAGGAGAACGCACGTTCAGTTTGGAGGTTGACAAGAGACTTTTCGGAGCAGGCAGAGCTGAGCCGGGCCTTGAAGAGTAGTGCAGATTCAAACAGGGGCAGTGCCTGGCCGCAGTCTCACAGACCACGCTATCAAATACTGGACATTCCAGGAGCTCCGCGTTTCTTAAAGTGCTTCCACATTCAACTCCTTTGATGCTCACAAGCAGGCTGGGGGACGAAGAATGTGACAGAATTGCTGTTTGACGATGGGGAAACTGAGACACAGACTGAGCGATCCCCTCGGGTCACAGAACTAGTGAGTGTGGCAGAGGCTCAGACCCTCTCCCCATGCACCAACCCCCTGTCCCCCAGCGAAGGCACTGGCACTTCTTCCATTAATAAGGTAAGGGGACAAAGAACCACACCTCTCAGAGCAATGCCAGGTCTTCTCCCTTGTGTGGCAGCTCAGGAGCTGAGAAGGGCTCTGAAAGACTGAGAGAACAAAATACGCTCTCGTTTAATTTAGTATTTGTCTTCCCTGTATGATTATAAGCGCCAAGAGGGCAGATACCACATGACTTGTTCAGCAATTAACCTCAGCACCTGGCCCAAAATTAGGAGTGCCTTCAAATTTATTTCATGATTGAATTAGAATGCATAAAAGAATAAACGACCCAGACAGAATGGAAGGGGGAGAAATCGGAGGTAGAGATGTAGGCTGGCCGCCCTGGAGTGAGCCTTCTGACATTCAGAAGTGAATCATCCAAGGCTCTCCTCCTTGCTACCTCCCTCACCAACCTTCAGAGCAGGCAGAGGAGGGAAAAGAGAGATGCTAAAACTACCAACAAGTACCAGGTTGCTACTTGCTAACACTCTCCAAAGACACGGGTGACGGGAGAAGAGCACCTCCAGCCGGCCCCAGCACGTGTGTATAAGTTCTTGGTAAACTATCAAGTAACACCTAAATTTTAGGCATGATTTTGAGGTCTGAACACTAAGCACTTGCTGTGATGTTCTACTTGGAGCTCTGCTCAGTCAGGACAAGCTTTTTGAAGGACCTTTCCCATGCATTCTCCGATCACGTTCTCCCCCTGTGGTTGCTGTACAACAAAACCAGCCCCCAGGAGGAAGGTGGGAATTGTTACTTCACCTAGCAACTGACTGTTCACTTACTTTTTAACCTTCATAAGGCAAGGCTGAAAGAGAGACAGAAAGGAAGGGGAGGAACTGGTCAGGAAAGCAGGAAACGGACGGCACCCCCACCCCACCCCGTGGTCCTCCAGGAAAATTCCTACCTCCCTCTGTTCTCATCGCCCCCTCTTCCTTCACTCAGCCCTCCCTCCTACTCAAACTGGCGCCGACTCTGGATAAGCACCAGCTGATCAGAGAGGTGCAGCTTGTGCCAAGAGCCACGAGCGGTTTCATTTGGCACAGAGTCTAAAGGAGAAACAGCTCTTTGTTTCATCCACCAGAGGGAATGCTACCAACTCCCGCTACAAAAATTCCCACACTCCCCTCTCTGCAAGGCAGAGAACAGTGTCCTCCCCAAGGCCTTCCAAACCCAGAAGACTCAGCCAAAGACAAAAGCTGCTCACCCTATGCGACCATGGGCAGATGCAAAACGCAGAGCCAGACGCCCTGCCAGCTCCCAAGGCTGCCTTTGGCTGAAGAGCTCAGGACACCACTCCTGTCCACCATCTCACAGTGCCAGCAGAGGCAGTCGCTCTGAGCAAGAGATGTCTTCGGACCTAGTCCCAGGCAGATATGCTCTATTTTTACCCTCCTCATCCCCACAGACTTCTCTCCAAATTTTCCACTTTCAGGGAGAAAAAATAAACCTCAAGCCACAGCAAGGAGGTGATGACCATGTGGCAGGGCACTGGTCAGAGCCAAGGAAGGATTCTTTTTTTTTTTTTTTTT